ACATTAACCAAGGCATTCGTAAACCGAGGTATTATTTTTTTTACTAGAAAGCATTGCACCCATGACCAGAAGATCTCAGGTGTGCCATGCAGGACTCCTGCAGAGTTATTAGTGTATCTGTGTACTCCACATTGCATGGGCAGACAGATACACACTGACAGGAAGAGACAATGAACTACCACAGCACCATGGTACTGTATATGGTTGCCACCTCATTCCTTTAAAACCAAACATATTAATTACACAGGTTCTGTGGCTGATTAAGATGGCAATTAAACTCACTTATCTGCATTAAATTAGCCTTAGAACCTGTGTATTTAATATGTGTTAAGACATGTAGCAGAATACATATTGGCCTAAATTTATGATGAAATTAGATTTTTAAATTTTTTTTACTGAACATGTCTAATAGCAAAAAGAAATTGTTGGTCTTTTTTTGTTTATAGCACAAAAAATAAAAAGCGCACAGGCGACCAAATACCACCAACAGAAAGCTCTATGCGTGGGGATAGCCTTAGAACATGTGTATTTAATATGTGTTTAAGACATGTAGCAGAATACATATTGGCCTACATTTATGATGAAATTAGATTTTTACATTTTTTTTTACTGAACATGTCTAATAGCAAAAAGTCAAAAATATATATTTTTTTTTTCAAAATTGTTGGTCTTTTTTTGTTTATAGCACAAAAAATAAAAAGCACACAGGCGACCAAATACCACCAACAGAAAGCTCTATGCGTGGGGAAAAAGGAGGTAAATTGAATTTGCATGCAGCGTTGCATGACTGTGCAATTGTCAGTTAAAATAACGCAGTGATGTATCGCAAAAAATGGCCTGGTCAGGAAGGGGGGTAAATCCTCAGGAGGGAAGTGATTAAACACAAGAGAAAGTGTTCTGGGAAGTATAACATTTGTTTATAATTTACAAATTAATTTGTCTGCATTCAGGGGCGGACTGACCATTTGGAAACTCGGGCACTGCCCGAGGGCCCGGGGTCAGTAGGGGGCCCCATGAGATTCCCCTGGTACCTTTTTCACAGGCTTTTTTGAGTTGGGGCAAGGACACAGGGGCCCCATGATCCCCTATAGCCCGGGGGTCCCATAAGTTGTCAAGTCCACCCCGTCTGCATTTGAATAACTCAAACACGGGGGACCTAAACCTGAGCTCCTTCCCTGGAAACAGTTTGATGAGGTCCCTCTGGAGGGCAAGTGGTTAAATTATCACAAAATGAAACTTCATTCAGCTCAATGCACCGACATTCTGCATTATTACACATCGCACACCAATGCACAAGTATGGTGTAAACAGGGTGCATAGAAAACAATTGTTTTCTATGTGTCCCTGTGTTGATCTTTGCAGCTCAAAGGACATGGTGTGAACGTGTATTTTTTTTCTTTTTTTTCTGCACCTTCCTTGTTTATTACACTTTAATAGATAATAGATAATTATGACCGTACAAAGATGCTCCTGACCCCTTCTGCTTCTAAATAGCAGGCATTTTTGCCTTGTAGATGAGGTGTATGAGAGCAGCGCCTGGGCCTGTGTGGGTAATGGAAAGCCGTGCATGTTCCAGGCATGTGACTTCATTGTGTAAGACCTTTAGTATCCCTTTTTTGGCCCCTTGCAGTGTGGCGCAAACTAAAGCTAGACACATAGCAGGAAGCTCTCAGGAAAGAGGGATAGTTGTTATTGCAAGTGTTTAACTGCCACATCTTTAAGTACAAAACACACAGCAAAGGGAAACTGTTACAGACAAATATGTGACACTTCCTCTGTTGATGAACATTTAGAACAACATACAACACTCATAAAAACTGTGTGATGTATCGCAGGAGGAAACACGAGAAGTCTGCAAATCGGAGGTAAACACTTTAAACTCGTGTTTGCAGCCACTGGAAGGACGGAAAATATATGGGACCTCATCAAACTGTTTCCAGGGAAAGAGCTCAGGTTTAGACTATGTTGGCGTTTGGGTATTCAAATACAGAAAATTAATATGGAAATTATAAACAAATGTTATACTTCCCAGAACACTTTCACTTGCCCTCCTGAGGATTTACCCCACTTCCTGAGCAGGCCGATTTTTGCGTTACAGCGCTGCGCTACCTTGACAATTGCACGGTCATGCAACGCTGCACCCAAATTAAATTTACGTCCTTTTTTTCCCACGAATCAAGCTTTCTTTTGGTGGTATTTGATCGCCTGTGTTTTTTATTTTCTGCACTATAAAAAAAAAAGACCGACAGTTTTGAGAAAAAAAACAGTATTTTTGACTTTTTGCTATTAAACATGTCCAGTAAAAAAATTTAAAAAACAAATTTTATCATAAATTAAGGCCAAAATGTATTCTGCAGCATGTCTTTGCTAAAAAAAATCCCAATACATGTAAATTAATTGGTTTACGTGAAAATTATAGCATTTACAAATGGCGGTATATATAATTGCATTTTTAAATTTCTTTTAAATTTTTACTAGTAATGGCAGCGATCAGTGATATAGCGGACACCAATACAGTCATCAGTGCTAAAAAAAAAAAGCACTGACACTGTACTAATGGCACTGGGCAGGAAGGGGTAACAAGAGGGGCGCTCAAAGGGTTAACTGTGCTGGGTGTGTTTTACTGTGGGGCAGTGTCTGTGTGCTTCACTGTAAGCACACTGCTTTGGATGGATGTACTGTGTGCCCAAGCTAACGGGGAGGAGAACTGTTAGTAAACAAAACAGTTCCCCTCCCTGTCGGAGATCCTCGGAAATCACAGGGTGCCGGGCAAGTAATCACTGGCTGGGACCCAATGATTGACAGCCGCGGCCACGAATTGCGCGCACCCCCTACCCAGAAATACAAAATTCCGTATATATACACGTGATTTTGTGCAACCGTGCCACCCTGTAGCAGTATTTCTGCCATAGAGCGGCGCAGAAGCCGTTAATTGAACCTGCTTTTATAAGCGCTTAGACGCAGAGTACCTATCCCCTGGACAGACAGAGTACCTGTCCCATGACGCAAAGAATTCTGTTTTTAAAATGAAGCTAAAAACTAAACATATTTTTTTTAATAGTATTATGATTTTTATGATATAGGATTAAGGCTGGCCATGTCAAGGGATGTCAAAACGTATGTCAACAGACATCAGCATGCAACTAAAATGAATGGAAATATACGGCCCTCTGTTTTCCTCTTGTACCAAATTGTAACTGTAATGTCTACCTTCATTTTGCAAAGCGCTATAAAAATCCTGTATAATAATAATAGTAATCCATTTTTCATACATTTTAGCGCACGTCAGTGTGAATGGCCCTGACTGGGTTTTTAAGAATAACACCCCACCACCACCACCACCTAAGTCCTCATGCACACTGGATGTTTTTTGCAGCGGCTGTTTTTGGCTTTTGATGTTTTTTTTCTACAGCTAGTAAACCCCCAGTATGTTATCCTATGTGTCCATGCACACAGAGACTGTAATCAACGTTTTTTGGCAGGGACTTTTTTTTGGCTGGAAAAACCCCCCAGATCCATTAGGTTTCTAGAGGAGTTTTTTTAGCTGTAAAAACGCTCTAACACTGAAAAATGTAGCAAAATGCTGTAAAATGCAGTAAAACATAGCAAACCGACGTTTTTGGACTTTGTGTGACCCAAAAAAAATTTTTTTCTGGTAAAAAAATGCAAATGTGGGAAAACGCCACTAAACATGGCAAAACGCCACTAAACGCTAATGCAAAAACACTAAAAAAAAACGGAAAAACTCACGTTTTTAACATGACTTTACACAGCTAACGTTACCAGCGTTATCTATACGCCCCGTGTGCATAGAGCCTTATTTTTTACAATTTTTTGGCAAAGATTATTTTTACCTTTCTTTCTCAGCTCATTCATCTTACATCATGGGTCCTCATCTTCCTCCGGAGGTGGGCAGGTATTGATTGCCACAGCATTGTCCTATGACTGCAGGGCTGCTTGATGACATACCCCCCTGGGAGGCAGGTCAGTGGCTTCCTGAACTCACAGTAAGTAGGTGATGCTGGCAATTTACATAAATAAAATGATATACAAAAAAAAGTGTTTGGCTAAAATCCCTGTAGAAATTACAATTCACCACATTCCCACACAAAGAGACATTTGATCCTCATACTGAACTTGGTTAATTGGTTATTGCACAAGGGAGCAATCTTTACATCTGCAGGAAAAGAGGATTAGCCTCTGCATACGGAAAGACTTCTTCACACTAAGAGCTGTGATAATGTGGAACAGACTCTGTCGGCCCTAGAATTTTTTTTTCCCTGTTAAAGCCAATTAGTCATTGCTTTATAAGGTTTTTTTTCCTTTTTCTTGATCAAGTATGAGAGCATGGATTCTTTAAAAAGGAGTTTGCTAATTATTTATGTAATCATTTTTTTATTGCTGGAACTCAAAGCATGTCTAATTTTTTCAACCTGACTAAAGATGGCCATACATGAAGTGAATTCAGAACCAATTTGAGCAATGAGTCGGCACCCTCCTACCCAACATCCTTCGATCTGAAAATCTCATTTTTAAATATTTATGAGCAGATGACACGACACAAGAAAATTATAATTCACCACTTTCACACACTTATGAACGATAAGGCCTCATCCACACAGAACGTTTTAAAAACGCTGCTCCTCTTGGCAGAAGCGTTTTGGCTTGACGCTTGAAAAAAGTTTCTACAGCTTTTACAAGCATTTAGGTGCACTTGCAGGCATCAAGCACTTGGGTATTAATTCATTTCATTGGCCAGAATACTAATTGATTTGGGCCATTAAAATGAATTAACATTCAAGTGCAACATGCACCTAGAATTAACACGCATTTAGTCGCGTTTACACGCATAAAGTGCTTTTTCTGCCAAAACTGCTGCTGCTCCTGGACGCACTGGCAGTGTTTTTTTTTTTTACAGCTTCTAAAAACCCCTGACCTTACAGTAAAAGCCAGCCATACGTTGAATGAAATTTGTCTGGTTCAGCAGCTGAATTTCAATCCATGTATGTGCACTGTGGTTGTACAGAAGTCAATCTACATCTGTACAACTGCCCTGCCAGATTTCCCCTGCTCAATTGGCACTGCAGACTAGGGGCGGACTGACAACTCATGGGGTCCCTGGGCAATAGGGGATCATGGGGCCCCTGTGTCCTTGCCCAAACTCAAAAAAGCCTATGAAAAAGGTACCAGGGGCATCTCAAGGGGCCCCCTACTGACCCGGGTCCTTGGGCAGTGCCTGAGTTTCCAAATGGTCAGTCCGCCCCTGCTGCAGACTATAGCCTGCATCACTGATCTGTGAATTCTGACAGCAGGGAGACTTCTATAAACAATGTCACAGCAAAGAGGATTCCCTACCTCGAATATGTGAATGGGGGAATCGGGTCAGCCCGCTGGTTGAACGAAAAGGTGACATCTATGGGCTGGCTAAGAGATATATATGAGAATCTCTGGTAATTGGGTGGAAAAATCCATTTAATTGCCTGTAATTAGTGTTTACCAGAGCTATAAAGAAAAAGACCAAGATAAAGATAGTAGATCACACACCTTCATTCCAATCATGCCTCATGTAATGATCTGGCTAATTGGCCACATCCAGTGAGCCCAAAGAAAACATTTTGGGTCTAAACCAATCCCTTCTCAAGACACAGCTGTCCAGATTAGATTAGGTAGCTAATGCGATGATATGAAGAGTGGTATAATGTTTTGATAGCTGATTTGGCCAGTACACTAAGGCAGGCCATAGACGGGCCGTTTATCGGCCGATAAATGAAAATTTTTTCAACCTGACTAAAGTTGGCCATACATGAAGTGAATTCAGAACCAATTTGAGCGATGAGTCGGCACCCTCCTACCCAACATCCTTCAATCTGAAAATCTCATATTTAAATATTTATGAGCAGACGACATGACACAAGGAAATTAGAAATCGGTCAGTCCCGTTGCCGATGCCGCCACCCATGTCCACGAAAAACGGCAGTTTTTTGCAGATTTTCCAGCATGACCGATAAAAATAAATGAGGAGATCCGCAAAAAACGGCCAACGGGCTGGTCCCACTAACGGCGTAATTATCGGCCGATTTTTCGCGCGAAAATTCGGCCAATAAACGACCCCTCTATGGCCTGCATAATGCTATCCTGTGAATTTGTACACGAAAACCATGGAATAATAAGAGCTTGACTTGCATCTACTCAAATTGGATCTCTGTGGAGTCAGCAGAAGCAGACTAAGGCTGGTTTCATACTAATCATTTATTTTCTTCCGTTTTTGCGTTTAAAAAAATGGAAGAAAAACGCAGGACCATTAAATCCTATGGAACTCTTCACACTGGTCAGTTGCGTGAACATTGCATTTTTCAAAGTCCTGCAGGCTGCAGTTTGGGTGTGGTAAAAAAAAAAAACGCAACTTACCATTTAAATGAATGGAGAACACATAAAAAAGTGGCAAAAAAAATGCACCCATGGTTGTGTTTTTGGTGTGTTTTGAATCATATGTCCTTTTTTTCACAGGTGCAAAATGCACTGGAAATGTGGCAAAAACGTGGTAAAAAGCGGCCAAAAAACTCCTAACTGTGTTTTTGCAATGGAGCAAGGCAGAAGTAGCCTGAAGACATAAAAAAGTGTAAAGTTTGATAGGCTTTAATGTATATCCTTACATCTGGGGATGGTGTGTTGGTTGCTATTAGGGTTTAATATTACATTGCAAAATAGAAGGGGTTTACCAAGGCACTAGAAACACCACCAAGTAGTGTGACTTTGCAGAGCAGTAGAGGACAGTACTAGACAGCTCAGTACACAGTAGTGCTGGAGTTCACAGAGCAGTGTATGAAATCACAGTGACGTATACTGCTGTAAAGAAATTCACCAGCTAGTGTAAGATTTCACATGGGGTTATGTAAAGATCACTTGTTATTCACGGACAATTTAGGCAGCCATGTTGTACGTTCAGCTTGAAAAGTAAATTTCCCAGGAACTATTTATGAAGCTTCTCCTATACATAGGAGGTTATATAGGCTGCAACCTTATAACTTAAAATGTAATGCACAAAATGGTAATCTCATGAGTGTAAAGGTGACAGGTCCCCTTTACAGTAGCTAATTTCAGCCATGTTTGGTACTTCTTTTGAACAGACAGCCTTTACGGCAGCAGTGTAACTACAATTAATGGGGCCTCATAATGAAATTTTGATAGGGTCCCCCAGCAATCTCTCACCATGACACGTGGCAATGTCAATTGGGATAATAGTGTGATTGATCCTAACATAAAGTATGTCTAAGGCAGGCCATATATTCATCTTTTTTTTTCATTCAACCAGCAGGTTGAACTGAAAAAAAATGATCCAATTTCCCCATCCACACATTCAGGCTAGGTTCATAATAGCGGGCTGGTTGCAGGTGCAGGTATTGCACCCGTTCCCACACCTGCAACCACCTGCAGCCAAATTGCTCTGCTCTTGCGAGACACATGTAGCTGCCCTTCATTTTGAATGGCACCCAGGGGCGGATTGACAACTCATGGGGCCCCCGGGCAATAGGGGATCATGGGGCCCCTGTGTCCTTGCCCAAACTCAAAAATCCTATGAAAAAGGTACCAAGGGCATCTCATGGGGCATCTACGGGCCCTCGGGTGCCTGAGTTTCCAAATGGTCAGTCCGCCCCTGATGGCACCCCCACACATCTCAGCCCTCAGTGTGATTATAGGTGCGGAAACCAAAAAGACTATGCAGTTTCCCTGTGGACGCGTTTTCAAAAAGATGCATGCACCTTTTTCCTGTATGAAATGTGGCACAGAAGCCCATTCAAATGAATGCACTGCTGTGCCCGAGCAAACACAGACTGCACGGTCTGCAATAGAGTGAACCCAACCAGGGCTCAGTGTGGATGGGGGATCCTCCTGCTGTGCTATTGTGTCCCTGCCATCAGAATACAATGATCAGGAAAAACCCAGCAAGCTGGCTGTGCAGAAGTTGATCAGTAGATTGACTTCTATAGAACCAGGATGCCAATACATGGATCAAAATTCCTCTGATCCCTGCTGAACCGGCTGAATTTCGATCCATAAATGACTGGTAAATCAAGGACAGGCAGCAGGTACATAAGTAGGGGTCTGTGCTGTGGACAGAAGTTGCCAGCGTAGAGCAGCAGTGTAGGGAACTTTCAACCTTAAGGCTCCATGCACACCGGGCATTTTGATAACGCTGGTAACATTAGCCGTGTAAAGTCACGTTAAAAACATGAGTTTTTTTGTGTTTTTGCATTAGCGTTTTTGCTGCGATTAGTGGTTTTTCCACGTTTGCGTTTTTTTGGTTAAAAAAATTTTGAAAAATGCCGGTTTGCTGCATTTTACTGCGTTTTGCCACGTTTTTCAGCGTTAGAGCGTTTTTACAGCTAAAAAAGTCCTCTAGAAACCAACTAGTTCTGGGGGTTTTTCCAGCCAAAAAACATTGATTACAGTCAATGTGTGCATGGACACATAGGATAACATGCTGGGGGGTTTACTGCCTGTTGAAAAAAAAACATCAAAAGCCAAAAACAGCAGCTGTAAAAACATCCAGTGTGCATGAGGACTAAACATCAACTGATCTTCCTGGGAGCATAAAATAGAGGTTTGGTGTCATTTCTAAGCCTTCCCACCCTTTTTACTACCTCAACCAGAAAGTTCTGTAGATTGTGGTTTAGTAGTCAGTAAACTAAATGTTATATTATTACATAATTGTTGGTACTCCTATGCAACATGTGAGTGCATTTCCTTTGGGTCTTATTCTATTCATCTCATTAAAGTGTTTAACTGTGCAAGATCATGCGCTTCCCTGTTTTTTTTCTTTCTTTACCCTCCATTCACATCAAACCCGACTTTGAAATTGTGCGACTTACAGTGAAGTCGCACGATTTCAAAGTCAGGGGACATGCCGATTTCAAGTGCAGTTTGCAAGACATCTGATACAGATGTCTCTGCAAATCACACCAAAAGTAGTGCATGTACTACTTTTGAAATCGGTGCGGCTCCGACCAAGTCGGAACCACACCAATATGACCGCTCCAATTGCGGACAATAGGGTGCGACTTGGCATGCAATTTTCAAGTTGCAGGGCATGCCAAGTCACATCCATTGTGAACCAGGGCTTAGATAAGTAAATCACAGATGCAAAAGAGGTCTGTAGCTAGCAACGGCATGATCCCAAATAATGATCCTGTGCCTCTGACTCAGCCTTCCTGAGACTCATCGGACAACCTCCCTGGTGGGGTCCTCTTCCCATTTTTGGGCCCCATTGCAGCCAAGCGGGCTGATATGACTATAGTTACGCCACAGCTTTACTGCAAATAGTGCCCTTTTAAACAGCAGATTGCTTTTTGTTATTGTTACAAAAACCTAGTGAGCCGCTGAGACCAATAGAGCGTCCTGGTAATGTATAGGTAAGCACCAAAAGGTGTCTCTATGTAAAAATTAAAGCTGGAATAGTTGTTGAACGTCAAGATCATACTGTGTACCAGCACAGAGATTAGGCTTCTAATCTGGAACAGATGACAAAATACTAAAGCACTCACACTAAAATGTAATGAAGGAGAGAGATTTCTAATAGAATTCTTAGATGTTGTGCATGCTAATGCAACAGAAGCAGTGAATCCACACAGGGAAAGACCTAGATGATCAAAATTCTGAAGAACAATTAGCATTCATGTTCTGTTACTAATGGCCTTGTCCTCAGCTGAACTTGATTCTTTAAAACGGCACATGGAAACCCTACTATAATTTAAAGGGCCCCACCGCCCATCTGTATTTTGACATCTGTTCTGAACTTGCTAGCCTAAGGGTTTGGCTGACTGAACACTTCCGTTCCTAAAAATCGTAAAAGTCTGTTTTTTTTTTTTCTTTTTAATTATTTAAAGGTATAATCTTTTCTCAGCAATTTCATGAACAAGACTTTCTTTCTTTGGTTGCACATTTGCAGGGTGCACGCAAGTTTCCATTCTATGCCTACATGCTATTGAGATGCATGTCACAAAAAAAATCTCATTTTAATTACGAACATATCAATGTACTTTATAACCTAACACAACCCAGATGTTGAATACCATATTATGTC